GATTCAAAAACCTTTGTAATAAGCTTTGATAAAGTGTAAACTCACGGATGTAAATTACAAGATCCTACGAATACTTAGGTTAAGGGCAATGATTAGTCATGGGTTGCAAAATATACCCTAGAATTTTCTGAAATCTGTTATAAGGAAAATAGTTATGAAAGAGTTGTAGATGTTGTACAAAAAGTTACTTGAATACATGTAAAGTGTTATATAATTTGAAAGTTCAAAATATGAAACTTCCTCAAATTATTCAAGAAATCTCTTCGAAACATGTATTTTCCTACTTCTTTCATATACTTACACCAATATGAAGTTGAGACGTCTTCTTCATTAGTGTCGTTTATAAAAGGGACCTCTTTTATAAAATTCGTGTCTATACCAAAATCACGAAATACTAAAGCATTTTTAAAATGCAAGTCAAAGAGTAAAACATAAACTCAAACGAAATATTATATAATAAACCTGGCTAAAACTAAGTATAAACTTAGGTATTAGTTTGATTACAAATCCCAAAACGGACCAGGGGCAAAAACTAGCTAATCATTCCAAAAATAAAAAAAACAAAAACAAACAAAACAAACTTCCCATCAAAAGTTCAAGAAACAAACTAAGAATACTATAGGGCAGAATCCAATATGGCATCATCAGCAGCGGGAGAAGATTCGACTTGAGCAGAAGAGGCTTGAACACCAACTTCACCAGGAGCAAGTTCAACACCTTCGGGAACTCCGACCTAAGGTGAGGAAAAGTTATGACTTTGCTGAGTTTTTTCAATAGTTTCCTTAGCCTTTGCAATCTTAGCATTCAAGTCAAAGCCTTCCTGGCTAGCCTCCATCAAAGTCTCGAGACACGTGTTCAGAAAAGCCCAGCTTACGTCAAGAGTTGATTTATCTTCGAGAGCCTCGTAGTCCTTCTCCCATTGCTCAATTTCAGCCTTCAACTCTTCTCTTTCAATCAAAGAGGCATCATAAGAAGCCTTCAAAGGGGTGAGGGGTCTCTCCAAGAACTGGACCTTATCAGTAGAGGCACGGAGGTCTTTTTGAGCCTGAGTGAGTGTTTGAACAAGCTTCCCGGCATAGGTCTCCTTCTGATTAATGAGTTCTTTCAAACCCTCAATCTCTTCGGTAGCTTTGGAAAGTTGCTCTGCAAATGAAGACTTAAGGATGTCTTTATCTTTGCCAACTTGACTGGAAGAGGCTTTTTCAATTGCTAATTCTGCAACCATCACTCTTACTTGTTGTTCCAAAGCACACTTCTCTTCATCTAAAACTTCTTTCTCCAACTGAAGACCCTCGTATTGTTCCTTCCAGTTATCTGCCTCCGTACGATAATCATTGACTAGTTGTTCAGTGTAGGCAATTCTCTTCATAAGCTTTGTGCCTATCAAGTTGATCTACAAAAGAAAAAGAAGAAGTGATTGTCAAACAAAGATAAAAAAATTCCGAGGAAAATAAAGGAAAGAGCTAAGACTTGTACCTTCAAAGATGAATGAACAATATCATTCATCCACGTTAAGGAACTGTGGCTTTCTAACTTCGACTTCTTAACTGGGCCAAGTACCTATTGCTACTGGAAGTATCAACTTCAACATGAGAAGTGGTAGCAATAGGGACAGTTGAGAAAGTGAAAACAGCCACGGGAGGAGCAGTAGCAGCAACAACAGGAGCGAAAATCTGAGAATCAATAGGAACTGACACTGGAAAAGAGGCAAGGGGTACTTCTTCGAAAACAGGACCAAAATCTTCACTATCAAAACCACGGGAAAATAATTGATCGGTAAAGTCACGAGGAGCAACATTCATCTCTTCATCATAACTCACTAAAGTAGCACTTTCAAGCTCATTCACAGGAACTGAACTTGGAGAAGGGGTGGTTTCATCATCCGAAATAACGCGCCTCCTAGCCCAAGGCCTGCGCACAAAAGGACCCTCTTCTTGTTCCTCTTCACCCTCCGAGCCACGAACTCCCTTCGCTTTTCTCTTTGATGAAGAATTTAAAATTATCTCTTGAGCAAGGGACAAAGAGAGTCTTGATGAAGTAATAGATGCGGCACTGACACCTCAAATAGGAAACCCTAGTACAGGAAAAAGTTAGTAACCTCCAAGTAAATACAAAAGAAAGGAGGAAAATTAAAGAGAAGGATACCACGAGTCTTGACTTTCCAACCAAACCTATGAGAAAGGTATTTCCAAGACCTTCCTTCCATAGGAGCAGCCAACAACAATTTCTCTACCCAAGCACGGAAGTTTGGTATTTCTTCAAAAACTTTTATGGTTGCTAAAAAGAAAAGAAAAAATCCATGAGATCGTAAGTTTCTTCTTCCTTCATAAAAGAAGAAGAGAGATACTTAAAAAAAAAACTTACGTGCAAAATTCCACTTTTCTGGAAAAGGCATGTTCTCCTCACCCACCAAACCACTTGTGGGAGTAGCAACGAAACGGGCGTACCAGCCACGATCTCTATCATCTTCAGGGTTAACCAAAACTCTTTTGCTTCTGGCCACGAGAGTAAAGACCCCTGAACGAAACAACTTAGGGGAATAAATATGAAGCAAGTTTTGAAAGGTAAAGAGTAAGGAAGCCAAATTAGATAAGTATCGTAGACATGCAACAGCTCTCCATACAATAGGACCAATCTGTCCTAAGCAAACGTTAAAGAAATGACAAAATTCTATGACCGCTAGGTCAATAGGTGGTCTGAAACCTAAGGTAAAAGGATATGTGTAAATAAAAGAATAACCAGCCTGGTACGAAGTTATCCTTTGGTTTGAGCCAGGAACTAAAACTGAAAAATCAGATTTCCAATGGTATTCTCTTCGCACAAGAGAAATCAAGCCATCAGTAATCTGGGAAGGATAGACATCGGCACGATCATGGGAAGTCATAGAAGTAACTTGGTTCCTAATCGATTCACGATCAGTAGAGAAAGAAAATTCTTGAGGAACGATTTCATCAACCGTTGGTTCTCGAATGGGTTCACTTGATTCCCTATTTCTGGCAGAAGATCTATGAGTTGAAGAAGCCCTAGTCCTAGAAGAAGAAGGAGTAACAATGTTGGTTTGGGAAGAAGAACCACGAATAGATACAAATCCTAAACTACGTAATCTACCACCTCTTCTACTCCTAACAGGAGTAGTTGAAGGGGGAAGTTCATCTACAATTACTACTCTACGAGGATCGGGGTTTGATGAAGACATGGTTATACAAGAAAATAATACGTGCTGAAGAACAAGAACGATTAAAGAAGAAGAACATTGTAGATTGAAGGTTTCGTAAAACTAAAAGCACATGAGGTATTTATAAGAAAAAGCAACCGTCATGTAAAGTAAGTCATGATGGAAACGCCATAATGAAACAGTCACTGCAAGAAAGCCCTAAAAACCGCTGAAGAGTCGCAGACCCAATCGATGAAGGCCACATGGCACATACATTAAATGGAAGTGACATGCGACGCATTGGTTATGAAGAAGACGCAATTATACATGGGAAACAACGGCAAAAAATTCCCGCCATAAATACGTGCCACTTCCAAAATATTCAATTGCAGAATATTCGGCAAGTGGGGGGACTATCTGTATTGGTAGAAAATAAATAATACACGTGAAATTATATGTGGCTGACAGGACATGATACGTGAGTCACTAAGAAGATGACAACTGGAGTGTAATAATTAAAAGATGTACGGGTTACAAGAGGTACGAACAAATCACTCACGAGATGAAAGGACGCAGTTGCTCGAGCCTAAATTGTTTAATAAAGAGACACAAATGAAATGAATCAAGACAATAAAAATGGAAGATTCACGAACCTCCAATTAATGAGGAAGAAGAATCGGAACCGTTATAGAATCTCCGTGGACAGTTACGATCGCCAATTATAACGGTTCATTTAATGTCAATAATGCTCATAAAGACTTAGACATAAAAAGAATGAAACGTTATATTTGTAAACCCTTATATAAGGGAAGAGAATTTTACTTGTAAAGGCACGTTCTAATTCTTACTGGAATACAATTACTTTCTTTTGTTTTCAATCAATTATTTCCATATTTCTTGTCACGTTTATTTCCTTTCATATAATTGAGAAAGTACGGAATTTCTTGGTTATCAGTAACCCGAGTTCTTCTAAAAATAGGATTTGACCGAGAATCTTATTTTTTGGTTAAACAGTGTTAGTATGGGTGTTCATAAAAAACGAAAAATCGAATCAAACCAACAAGAAAATCGATATTTTTGAAAATCGATCAAATTTATTCAGTTCTAGATTTAAGAAAAAAATAACTGGAAAAAATCGAACCACAACGACTATAAAAATTTATTATTACATATATATATATATATATACACACACACACATAATGTTTGTAAAATTATATAGTACATATTAATAATTTGCGCTTCTAGTTGGTAGTTTAGTTTTTTGCCTTTATAATAATCTAGTATTTACCTTTATATTCTAGTTTGGTTGGTAGTTTGCTAAGTCATGAATTTGTTTCATATTAAAAATAACTAGTCTTTAATTCAATCCTTAAATTATTTATTACTATTTAATTTAATTTAATTATCATCAATATATAAATAATATTTTTTTCTCAAAGAATAATTAGTTTGATAATGTTATGTTGGAATATAGTCGCCAAAAAATGTACGTGGTAAAAATCGAAAACCGACGAAAACAACATAAATCGAATTGATAAAAAATCGACTTAAGTGGTATGAACATCCCTGCGTGTTAGTATGTTTAACCTACTACATCATATTAATTAATAGTTTTATTATATTACTGATTATTATTTGATCTTAAATTTTATATAAATTATATTTTAGATGCGTAATTGTATAAATATTTTTAAATTATCTTAAAACTCTTTTAAGTAATGACTTCGTTTTAGTAGGTACAGCTCTCAAAACACGGGCTAAAGAGTTTTTTCCTCTTTTATGCTCATATAAATATATACACCTATGGAATAAAACTCTTATTTTTTTATTTGTTTTTGCATTTAATCATTTCTTACCTAATACTTACTTCAAAAAACAAAACCCTAAAAGGGATTGATTCGCCGCAAGATTTTTTATTCTCCTCTCTCCCATTTAACCTTCATCATCTCTCTTATTAGCTAACAGTTTTCATTACCTGCTCTATGTTGAGAAAAAATAACTTTCTTGGAGTTTAATTAGTCAAAGATGGGATTTTTATCAACACCAAAGCTTCAATTTTCAGCTTATACATGTGGGATTTTGTAGTTTTAAGGTTTATATATGATAAAGTTTTGGCTTTTTTTACCTTTCTTGGGTTGCTAGGTTTTGTGGGTACTGATTATATTTGTTGTAGAATTGAGTATATAATTGGTCTTTGATCATGGAGCTTTCTTGGTACTATTTTGTTTGATCAAAGATTGGATTTTTATGAGCTTAAAGGTTTGATTTTGAGGTTGTGCACGTGGGGTTTTGTAGTTTTTAAGGTTTATATATATATGACAAAGTTTTGTTTTGAATAGCTTTCCTGAGTTGTTAAGGCTTGTGGGTATTGATTATATTTGTTGTGGAATGAGTGAGTGAAGATGGTATCTGAATTGGGGAGGAGACCGATGATTGGGAACAATGAAAATTCATTTGGAGATGAGTTTGAGAAAGAGATTGGGATGTTACTTCATGATCAGCGAAGACAAGAAGCTGACGATCGCGAAAAGGAGCTGAATATGTATAGAAGTGGCTCAGCTCCACCTACTGTTGAAGGTTCATTGAGTGCAGTGGGTGGATTGTTTAACAATAATGGTTTCATGTCTGAGGAGGAGCTTAGGTCTGATCCTGCTTACTTATCTTACTATTACTCGAACGTAAACCTTAATCCTAGGTTGCCTCCACCACTTTTGTCCAAAGAAGATTGGCGGTTTTCACAGAGGTTGCAAGGAGGGAGCTCCGCTATTGGTGATAGGAGGAACATAAACAAGAATGATAATAATGGTAATGGTAGGAGGTCACCCATGCCTCCAGGATTTAACTCGAAAAAAGCAGAGAGCGAGAACGAGACGGATAAATTGCAGGGTTCAGTGGAATGGGGTGGTGATGGGCTGATTGGTTTGCCGGGACTAGGATTAGGTAGTAAAAAGAAGAGCATTGCTGAAATATTCCAGGTGCATGCTTCAAACTTTATCTCGTGTTTTATTTATTTATTTATTACAATTTCAACAATGACTATTGGATGTTAGATTCCAAGATTCTGGTATTAAATGCTTTTGAAAGTGCCGGAATTAACAATTGGCATTTAATGCTTCATGAATTTAGCTCATTTATGTTACTGCCCAAATGGTATGTTCGGTGTTGAAGGAAAAAAGTTCAACAAGTTTCCTTTGAGGTGTTTTGGCTGGATTTGGCATTTTTGAATTGTGGAAATATTTTATTGTTGTGGCATGAATGCTAGGTGATAGTTGATTTATCTTCCCATTAAACCGCTTTGTTTACATGATGGTTTGGTAGACACGTAACTCCATTTCGCTCGATAATCTCTGCTAAGCTGATGAGATCTGAGGCAGTTCTGCATCTCCGAGGCCAACATTTATCATTATGATTAAAGGGGAACCTTCAAAATTTGAGTTTAATTTCTCTATATTTATTTATTCCTTTCTATCTCAAACTTTTTATATTGACAATCCATCTGGACATATATGACATAAATAAGCATTTTTTGTTCCATATATAAGAATGGTTTATGCGATCACATGATAAAAACAGAATATTGTGACAATCTAAGTTGCTTGGATTCTTCACTTTCGGTGCCGCACCCGTGTCGACACAACGTGGGTGTCGGTGTTGGTGTGGGATCGGTACCTGATATGGTCAACCGATTTTGGATACTTTGACCAAAATCGATGGGGAAAGATACAATGATTTTTGAAATCAAAATAAAAGCTAGGGTGAAATTGAATTTTATATAAGAAATTTCTATGTTAGTCCTTTTTCTTTTATCTCCTTCCCGGGTTCTCCTCTTGATCAATATTTTCTCCTCCTTGGAACACCTTGTAAGTTTTCTAAATAATTTTCATAATTTAGACATATTTTTATAACTCTACCTTAAGATATTTGAATTATTTTTAGGCGAATCCTAGCACCCGTATCCATACTTGAATCCTTACCCCGAATCTTAAAATTTAGATCATGAAGGATCCGAACTCTAGATCCGCTCCCGTATCGGACACTTGTACCTGAGTCCGAGCAACTTAGGTGACAATTAATGATATCAAGTGCGTGATTGGCTTTGAGAAAGTGTGNTGTAACAATTGATGATATCATGATAGTCTATTAACGATGTTGCATTTTTATGTATACTTGGTACAATGCAGTAAGTTCATAGGCAATATAAGATACTGAAATTGCTATACTAAGGAAAAAATAAAAATCTCTTATGTTGCGAATATATATTTGTTTATAGTGCCCGGTTGTGTTCCCCTTAAAGAAAGTCATAAACAGCTCTATCGTTGTGTTCGTCTAAACATTACTAGCTGAGGAGTCAAATGTTTCTTTCCCTTTTGGGTATATTCACCCATGTCCGGACTCCCGGTCCTACCTTCACTTCAAATTTTTGGTTGGGCGGATGTGCTCCATCCTTCTCCCATCCCCTACAGTGTGATCTATAGTTTCTCTTTTCATGTTATATCTAACTGGTTTTTGCAGCTCAGCGGAGTTTCTGTACTCTATAAAGGGTAGTTTTGGATAATTTGCGAACCTAACAAAGTATAATCTTAGATGAAATGGATCAAGACATCTGTTTACTGCATGATGAAATGGATCAAGACATCTGTTTACTGCATGGCATCTGATCATTGTACTGTTGTTATGCTGCTAAAGGCATTTCCTTTTACCTTTTCTAATTTTGGATTTCCACATTTTTGAGTTTCAATAAATAGACACCTTCCATAATATTTTTTTTGTAGTGTTAATTTTTCCTTCCAATTATAAAATAAGCGGCCGATATTTGTTACTCCTTCTGTTTTAATTTATGCTTCTTACTTTCCTTTTTAGTCTGTTTCAAAAAGAATGCTTCTTTCTATATTTAGTAAGAACACAAGATTTAAGGGCATTTTGGTACATTATACACATCTTTAGTTTAAGGCCACAAGATTCAAAAGTTTCCGTACTTTTTTTAAACTCCGTGCACAATCAAACTAAGACACATAAATTGAAATGGAGGGAGTATTATTTTGTCTTAGGAGTAACTTTTTTTACGTTTAATCTGTGAGAAAGAGAGTTTAACATGGTCATCTGATGGGTTTTAAACCATGATAATCCAGGATGACTTCAGCCGTGTGTCTCCTGCTCCTGGTCACCCTTCGCGGCCAGCTAGCCGAAATGCTTTTGACGGAAGTGGTGATGCAGCAGAAGCTGAGCTTTCGTTTTCTTCTTCAAAGCCTTTAAGGTCTGGATCAAGCACACAAATCCCATCTGATGAGGTGGCTGCTTCCTATTCATATGCTGCTGCTTTATCAAGAAGTACCACTCCTGATCCCCAACACATTGCGAGGGTTCCTAGTCCTTGCCTTACTCCTATTGGTGGAGGGAGGGTAGTCAATTTAGACAAGAGAAGTGTTAATAGTCCAAATTCATTTAATGGTCACACAACTGAGTCTTCAGAGCTTGTTGCTGCTTTGTCTGGCATGAATCTATCTAATGGTACGTCGGATGAGATCATTTCTCTGATTGAACAGGACATTGGTTTTAATACTATCCTCACCAATCTTGCAGGTGGGCAAAATAACACGAAGCAGCATGAATTTTTTAAGCAATCTGAATCCCCACAGTTTAATATGGCTTCTACTGTTCAGTCTGCGAAAGTACCATATTCTGTCGGCTCAGACCTTAATAGTTCTAACCGCCAAGCTGCTTTCTCCAATAATTCATACCTCAAAGGATCCCCAACATCTGGATTGAATAGTGGAGGTGGCGTACTTTCTCAATATCCACATTTGGACAGTCCAAATTCATCTTTTTCTAATTATGGTTTAAGTGGTCATCCTCTCAGTCCAATGTCAAGCCATCTTGGCAACTATAATTTGCCACCTTTATTTGGAAATGCTGCTGCTGCATCAGCTATGGCTGTACCTGGATTGGACTCTCGAATCCCTAATTTGAGTGCTGCAACCTCAGAGCATAATCTCAGCAGAATGGGAAATCAAATGGGTGGGCCGTCATTCGTGGACCCTATGTATCTTCAGTACTTGACAGCTGAATATGTTGCGCAGGTTGCTGCTCTTAATGATCCTTCCTTGGACAGGAGCTACATGGGCGGCAATTCGTATGTAGACTTGCTTCAGAAAGCTTATCTTGGTAATAATGTTCTACCTCAGAAATCTCAATACAAAAGCAGTGGTTCAGGTCATCATGGCTATTATGGAAATCCTGCGTTTGGAGTTGGCTTGTCATATCCTGGAAGTCCTTTAGCAAGTCCTGTCGTCCCAGGCTCTCCAGTGGGACCTGGTAGTCCTATGAGGCATAGTGATTATAATAATATGAGACGAATGAGAAACATAGCTGCAGGTGTCATAGGACCATATCACTTGGATAATATGGAAAACAGCTTAGCATCCTCCTTACTGGAAGAGTTCAAAAGCAACAAGACCAGGTGTTTTGAACTTTCAGAAATTGTAGGCCATGTTGTTGAGTTTAGGTAAACTTGCTCTTATGTGTTTTTTTTCTACCTGAACTAGCCTTGATTCTAATTCTTATGTATCATCTATGATCAGCGCCGACCAGTATGGGAGCCGATTCATTCAGCAAAAGCTGGAAACTGCCACCACTGAGGAGAAAAACATGGTGTTTCAGGAAATTTTTCCCCAAGCTCTTACTTTGATGACTGATGTCTTTGGAAATTACGTAATCCAGAAGGTATGTGTAATTCTATGGAGTATAGATTGAAGTTGAGGTGCATGGTCTTCCAATCTGTCCTGTTTCTCTTTAATTGGATTGTAATGTCCATATTTCTCTTGCAGTTTTTTGAACATGGAATGGCATCTCAGAGGAGAGAATTAGCTGGCAAGCTCTTTGGCCATGTTTTAACACTGAGCCTTCAAATGTATGGTTGTCGCGTCATACAGAAGGTATACCAAATTGAATCTAGAAATGCTCATTCACACTTAAGCTTCATCAAAAAAAAGAAAAGAAAAATAATGCTCATGCACACTTAAGTGTTAATCTTTTGCTTTGGTTCTTATTCTGATACACTAAATATAGCACCAACCAGTGGGCTTCCTTCTCAATATCTGAGTTATGTTAAGTTGAAAATTGTGGTAAAATGTTTGGTTCACTATACAGGCAATAGAAGTAGTCGACGTGGACCAGAAGATCAAAATGGTTGAGGAGCTTGATGGTAATATCATGCGCTGTGTACGAGATCAGAATGGAAATCACGTCATTCAGAAATGTATTGAATGTGTACCAGAAGATCACATTCAATTTGTCGTCTCGACATTTTTCGGACAAGTTGTTACTCTCTCCACCCATCCATATGGCTGTCGAGTAATACAGGTAGATGAGTAATGTGTCTTATCCATTTGGGTTGGTAATTTCAGTTTGATATTTACTAATATTCCTTCATCTGTCAGAGAGTATTGGAACACTGTAGCGATCCAGAAACCCAAAGTAAAGTGATGGAAGAAATCTTGGGATCTGTAAGCATGTTGGCACAAGATCAGTATGGTAATTATGTTGTTCAGGTATGGAATACTCACTATCTATATACTAGTGTCTTGACTGTCTTATTTAGAAGTAACTATTTCCATTTTCTTTTTCAAGAGTTAGTAGTTCGTTTTATCATGTTGTATTCTACACAATATCCTCACTTCTTGACTAGTATGGAGCAATTCGTAAAATGTATCTGAGTTGACGATTCCTGAATTTGTTGTTGATATGGGTACATGTTTTGCTTATTTTCAAATTATGGTAATATTGTGCATTTCATTTCATTATTTGATGACTCTGTCTTGCTTTTTTATGATGTACTAGGAAAACATTTTTGTGTCACTGTAAATGCCAAAATGAGGTCATTGATTTTATTATTAAGGCATTTGGTTGGAGAAGTGAAATCTTTTGCAAATAGTTTTTTTTCCTTCAATTTTGCGTGTTTATTTGTTTGCAAAGTGTTCTATTCTTTTTCCTTCAAAATTTCAACTTCTTTGAAAAACTAAAAGTATATGGCCCCCTCCCCCCCNATTTGTTACTCCTGCTACTTTACTTTATCCCAAACAAAAAGGAATCTTTTTTATACACCTAATATCATGGAAACAATGTTATTTGTGTATTCGCTGAGATTTAATTTTAACCTCTTGTATGCCAACTCTTGCTTAGCAGGCACGACTCAGGATATTTTGGAGCATCATAATAGGATGATTAAATTTAAACCTACAAAATTTGTGAACTAATGATTATTATCTTTTGGTGGGTCCCTTGTCAGGACTCTGCCTCTTCTTGGCTCACATGTACCTGTTGAGAAGCATAGCATTGCCTTCTTCCTTCCTTCCTTCCTTCCCCCTTGTTAATGGATCTTGGCGACGTCTCAGGATTAATCACTAAGACAGCTAGCTGTAAGATCGTTAGGACTAAGTTTGGATAGGCTATGAGTCACTTAAAAGGTTGAAGTTGGAAGAAAAGAAACTTAATAGTTAACCTGGATGGTATGGTCATAGCTGATATCTGATATTGTGTGGCACATACTTTTGAAAAGCAAGAAGTGTTTGGAAGATGAGGTCATTGAACGGTCATTCGTCAAGCGTGCTTCATCTGTAAGTGAGATTTCCTGCCTCTGAATTTAAGTCATTAGACCCTCTAAAGCAACTGTGCTTTATGTCAAACTGAAATTATGGAGTCTTCAATTAAATCAAACTAGATCGCAAGAATGATACGTGCCAGCGACGACAGCTAAACCTCTTTGGACTTCCCCTTGACATGTTTGAAAGGACTTGAGAACAAAGATGCATGGTGATGTCGCATATCAATGTGTTTAAACCAAGCAAATCACATATTGGCAGCAGAGAACCACTGGATTTTCTGACATTCATATTATGCTCGTGCTTTTGGACATTCTGGCCTGTTCCTCCCCCCTTTAATTAGAAATAATTCATATGCGTTGTGACCCTGTAACACTAGGGTTTGGATGCTGAGACTGTTGTCTTGGAAAAACAAGAGTAAGAGATGTCTTGGAACATTGGGTTGTTCCCTAATTTCTGTAGGACTTCGCCCTTAAAGAAATAGTCCTAGTTGTTGAAGCGGAAGTATTACTGTGAGCTTGTGAGCTAGACTTCTTGAACTATATTCCAGTTGGACTTCTTGAGCTTGTGATGGATACAGGACTCTTTTGCCCTACCAAGACTGACTTGGGATTATGGCGGAGTTGGTTGACCGATGAGTTTCTACGTTTGGAACTTCCTTTCTCTCCACCTTCTACCTTTTTTCAATGATCCCACTTTAGATTTGACCCACATTAAGTATCCCAAATATGGAATGTTTTGAGGATGGGCCACCTACAACTTCATGTCGATAGCTAAGAAGAAATCTTTTCTTGAAAGCTTTTGGCTGAAACATTTCTGCTGCTAATATAAAAAAATAAATTAATTGTACCATTTCAAGCTCCATTGTAGCCTGAAAACAGCGCTACCTACTTATTATTTAATATACGTTTAGTTAGAGGCTCAAGATTTTTGCTGGACAAATATTTACCCAAGTGTATGCCAAAAGGATTTCCTCAAATGTCGTGAATTAGTTTTCTATGACATTCAACCCTTGCTTTGTGTATGTTAAAGCTATTCAATCATGAAATTCGGACCTTAGTAATATTTGCGTTTTAATTTTTGCATCTATGGGGATAGGGTTCATCTTGGGAGTACAGCCATTGAGCCACATATATAGATGATTTTGATTTTGATAGGGTGGCATTTAGTGCATCATATAAATTCTTACAGTCTTGTTTCTCATGCTCTCATATCCCAGTAGAGTTAAAAAGCGAGAAGGTTTGGTTTCAAATTTTGCATTGTGTTTTCTCATTTTTCTTCTTTTTGTCCAGGCTATGATGAAAGATCAGTTTGCAAATTACGTTGTACAGAAAGTTTTGGAAACTTGTAGCGATCAGCAACGTGAGCTGATCATGTCGAGGATAAGAGTTCACTTGAATGCTCTGAAGAAATACACTTACGGAAAGCATATTGTCGCGCGTGTTGAAAAGCTAGTTGCTGCTGGGGGTAAGCAGTTTCCTGTTTGCATTTGTCTGGAGCATTCAATGCATTGGTTATTCAACTTCAAATACGCTTTTTTAATCAGTTTCAACTGGATATTGTCCGAACGCGTACTAAATGATTTTGTTATGCTGTTTTGCAGAAAGAAGAATTGCTGCTCAGTCCCCAAGTCCGGCTTAGTCTTGTAGGAAAGAAAGTTGTACAGCTAACTGAGGCTTAGTTTGAGCTACCTATCTTCCTTTTCTTCCACATCTAGTGTTTTAGCTCCATACATGTCTTCAAAGGTATGGAGTAAATTGCAAATAAAGTTGTTACATGTACTAGAGAACTGTAAATTGTGTAGTTAAAACATAAAAGCAGGTATGCTGAAGCTCAGATGTCAAATATTCGAGATGGCTGTGCAGAGGAAGTCAAGTCTCCGGAGGGTGTAAAAAATATAAGACCGGCGAGGTAGTTTATATCAACGCGATTGTACAAATGTTGCCATGTGGAGAGTTGATGTTTAGGTGAGAACAGAAATTTCATGTATGGTACTGACAATTTTCTTTTATGGCTAAGTGTATTTTCCTTCATCTTTGGTTGCTGTCATTTTATGAAAATTCAATGCTTGGGATTAGTATTCTGGCGGTTGTGAGATTTGGTTGCAGTAGATACATACAGCTATGACAACAATTATCTTAAATTCCAAAGAAGTTAAGGGTCGGCTGTGGCTTCTTACTGATCATGTTTCTCCATTTAAACTCATTTCATGTCAATATGACTTCAATAAACTAACAATTCGTTACAACTATATATTGTAAGACGAGATGTTTGTTATTAATTACCATACATAAGAATGTGATTTGATTGAATGCTAACTCCAAAGCATGTGTTACTACCTAAATGTTTACATTAAGGGGTCGCTTGGTTGGGAAACAAGTTATTCCATGATTAATTATTCCGGGATAACTATCTCATTCTCCCATGGGGATAAAAAAATACTACAATCCCAGAATAACTAATCCCGAGATTAGTTATACCATGATTTTATTTCAACTAAATGTGGGATTAATTCATCTCACATTTAATCTCGGGATTAATTATCCCTTATCTCTCGTACCAAACGAGCCCTAAAGGTTCAAGTTGTAAAAGCATAAGAGCCCAAACGTTGTTTTCTTACTTCTAATTTTATATCCAAGAACAATGAAGTACAATAAGACGTATATGGTTAAATAGGTTCAGAATCGACAATGTAGTCAAACGCATACAATATTATGTACTATTATGCACCTTTTTGATCGTATGTGAATTTTCCATTTGAAAGTGGTAATTATATTATCAAGATCAATGATAGTACACAATTTACCAAATAGAGTAAACATTACCATGTTATAGTGTATTAATAATTTTTTCCTTAAATCTCTCGAGCACTATTTGATTTTTATAGCGTAATCAATAACATTTTTGTGTAAGCAATATAAAAAGAAAAAGCAAAAAAAAGGACCTAGCTTTTGCGTGCAATAAGCATCGGAGGTGTGAACTTCCCTTTTTATATTCAAGCACATATAATGGTGTGAAAGGATTTTATGTTCTCGATCATATTTTTTCATGAAATATCGATTCTATAAATCATCTCATTTCAGAATAAAATCTCATGTAATAAGTAAAGTCTTATGATTTCCCATACCAACTCCTGGCCTTACCTGATAGAATCTGGGAGAGAGGATGGGGGAGGGGGAAAACATTTGGCACGGGGAGAGAAAGTATACGAAGGGTTACTTTACTTTTGATAATCACAATCAAACCCAACCAATCATTGAATACAATCAATGAAATTTTGATAGATTATAATCATAAAAGAAACTTTTCAAACACTATTTGCCTTTTCTATTTAATTGTATAATATAACAAATTTTCTCTAATGCCATACAAAATCAAGATTTTTACTATATGAAATGAAAGAGTCCATGGCTCCCCTTTGTGAATATCCTCTCTCTTCTCCCTGAATGAGTTATTTTATGCTAGATTTAAGGTTTTTTATTTTTTATTTTTATCTTTTGTTCATATTGTTTTCTATAGAGATGGATTGATACAGAGGTTTCTACTTCTTACCTATAAACAAACCGTCTATTTTTTATTTTTTCGTTTCAAACGATCTTTTTACTTTGAAGTGCAAATTTAATCCATTTAATTTATTAAAATTATGTATGAATTTAGTTATAAATTAATATATGCTTAGCAAGAATTGAGCAAATTGGCGAATTTAAATAATCAAAATGGATAATATGTTATAGTTATAACTTACATCCCAAGTAAGGATCATCACAATCTCGAAAATTTCATAAACTCATGGAATATTCATAAAGAGATCATATCGAAAATTTCATAAACTCATAGAATATTCACAAAGAGGTCAAGATGCGATCAGACACTTCTTGACGATCAAATAGTTTAAGAACATCTACAATACCTTTTTATGGAGATCAAATACATCTCAAGGAAGTCCGCATCATCCTATGTTCGAGAAATACATTGCTTAGGTCCTCGAATTATGGAGAACTATCTGAAGAGAAGAATCAAAGAAACAATAGAACTATACTCACAATTTACTAATAAAATCTCTTTTTCTTTTTTTAAAAAAGAAGGTAAGAATCACAAATTGTCTATACGATAAAAATTATAAGTACAACATTTAAATTATCTAGAAAATAAGTATATTTATATGCCGATTCAATTCGGTTCTTTCTTGTTCAATAAAATCAAACATATGATGATTTTATACAACCACAACAACAACATACCCAATATTATCCTCATCGTGGGGTCTGGGGAGGGTAATATGTACGCAAACCTTACCCCTACCTTTTGTGAAGATAGAGAGACTGTTTTCCAATAGACCATCGGCTCAGGAAAACATAAGCACCACATTAATTAAGATATAGACAAGGAGGGACATCACCCAAAAGCCATGTAAAAGCAGCATAAAAATAACACGATAATAAGATGATAAAAAAGATAGAAACGACGAGTAGTCAAAGAAACCTACTACCAACAAAATGCGAGAGTGCGTATTAATACTACCGGTATGAACAATCTTGACCACCTACCCTACTACCTAATTCCCGACCTCCACACATTCCGATCAAGGGTCATGTTCTCGGTCAGTTGAAGCTGCGCCATGTCTTGCCTAATCACCTCTCCCCACTTCTTCTTCGTCCTACCTCTACCTCTCCGCAAGACCTCCAATGTCAACCTCTCACACCTTCTTACCGGGGCATGTGTGCTCCTCTTCCTCATATGTCCAAACCACATAAGTCCCGCTTCTCGCATCTTGTCCTCAATAGGGGTCACACCTACCTTGTCGCGAATAACCTCATACATATGGTGATTTTATATTCGATTTAATTTGATTTTTCCATTTGGTTAGATTTTTCGATTTTTCGTGAACACCCTTTTCTTGACTGCAAAAGGGTTATCATTCATAGGGGTGGACATAATTTGGGCAAACCCAAAATTCAAACCGAAATCCGAATTTTTTAGATTATTGGTTTGGATTTTCGGATTACGGATTGGATTTTGGATTTAGTTTTTATTATTTTTTGATTTAATATTTCAGTTTTTTGGATATGCGAAAATCCAAAATTTTTATACGTTATATTTAGTCCATTATCCATATGCCTGTAGTAATAAGTTCAAATACCATACCCAATAGATATTATCTCATATATTCAACATTGATTACTAAGTTACTATCAGAATACTTTCTATTTGGACATGGTTTTACTATTGCTATTTCGTATCGGTCGTATTAATATCTTTATTTCTTGATAATAATTTCATTACTTGAATATATATTTGGATGATTGCAGTGAGAATGAGGAACTTTTCAGGCAATTTAACATGAGTACTTTATTTGGATATATATTTTTATAAAAAGAAGAAATATCTCAACTTATAAGCTCAAAACCGAAAATCCAAAATATCCAAACCAATTAATCCGAAATCGAATTTAAAAAATCCGATCCAATCCGATCTTATTCGGATTGGATTTGGATTGTCATTTCTTCAATCCGAAAACCGAAAATCCAAACCAAAATTTTCATATCCAATCCGAACTGGCCGAACGCCCACCCCTAATCATTCACCACTCCGTTGGGGGTATTAAATGCAAAATCGTTTAGTTTATGTAGCAAAACATTACACTCATAAAATTAAACGGGGCAAAGTGCTAAATCTTTAGGCCCAAAACTTTTTGCACTTCCAAGGTAAAAAAAGAAAAAGAAAGAAAATAAGTATAAAGGAACATCCCGCCGTGACCCTTCGCCGGCAAAAGTATCTTCAAAAATCAAAACCACGTAAACGGCGCAATTTCGTACCGCTTTCCCACATTTTCCGGCAGAATTTCGCCGGAGATATTAGGACACTGATACACTTGTTTTGAACATGTAAAAGAATCAAAAACTGAAAGCGGAGAGGTAAAAAATAGAACATTATAAAAATATGGATCGGATAGTAGCAGCAAAGGAATTATCATTTCGAATAGGGTTTACGGGGCACAGTGGTCACCTCAAGATCGAGCCTCTCCCTCCTGTTGAACGTGATAATCCTCTCAATTTGATTCCTGACTTCATACTCGTAAGTTTTTTTCTCACTCACACTACTCCTTTTTCATTTTAGTTAGAGTTAAGGCGCATCATTTGAATTTCTATATAGGCTTTTGTTTCCATAGGGTTCGAATAATGACCAAAATGTATCCAATAGTAGTGGAAAAAATGATTCCAAGGGCGCTTGCTTAGACATTTTCTAGTTTGGTTGCGATGTATTGTTTAGATAGGTTAGCTAAAAGGCTGGTTTTTGAATGAAGTTAGAGAAAAGTTCTATACTGGAGAGCAATTGGTGGTTGGCTCTTGGGGAAGGAGAGTGATTGGAACAAGTAGAGTAGAAAGAGGGTCATCTATCTTGGGTTCCGTTATTTCTTAACAACTATATTCAACGTGTGTGGACCTGGAATGACTTTCATGGTAGTCTCTACTCCAGCATGAAAGTTCCATCTCAGGGAAGGACACCATGCTATGATAATTATTGTTTTGTCGAGCCCAACTTTTGTATCTCGCATGCCCACTCTCTCACACAACACAGACTGTGCGCGCATACACACATATTTAGGTTCTCTTTTGAGGTGTTCATACATTTTAGGTTCCACTACTTTATAACGATTATCCTCAACATGTGTGGACGTGGAATGACCTTTATGCTAGTTCATGCTCCATCATAAAAGTTTCATTTTATAGTATGATACTTTCTATTTTGTCAAGCTATGTGATCTTTGGTATCTGAACATGTTAGTCACACACATGTAAAGAGGGTTTGAATCGGAAGTCGTGAGTTTTGTCAACCACGTGAAACCTGTATTAGATCCGATTTACTACTGGATAACTCAGTCAACTAAGGCTTAGGTATAAGGGAAGAAATCACTTAGTTTTTTATACATTCATAGTTTCACTCTCCCTATTTATACATTCAAGATGATTTTCTGGATTTTGCATCTTTATGTTTTATTTTCCAAATTTTGTGTGAATGCACGTTAGTTAATTGCCAAAAAAAGAGGAAAGGACAAATTTAAATTAATATAACTTATTTAT